TTATCAAAGTTGTATGAAAAAGACTTTCGTTACATTTTACCTGAAAGAATAGATATCATTTACAATTTACTTGAATATAATGGTGGAATATATAACGCAGGATTCAAAAATCTTAATGAACAACTTAACCTGTGATATTTGGTGACCAAAATTGGCAAAATTGTACGTTGCTATAAGATGTGCATATACCCTTTGACCTGTGAAATTCGCCTCTGCAATTGACAAACTACTGCTTTCTTTGATATAGCTTTTTTTGATAAAAGTTGTATGTTCTTGAGAAAGTAGTCGAATACACATTGATTATGCATTGTTAAACAGTTTTTAGCTCACCTGCCCGAAGGGCAAGTGAGCTTATGTCATGGTGCGGCGTCCGTCGTCCGTCGTCGTCCGTCAACTTTTCCTTTAAACAACTTCTTCTGAAGAACTGATAGGCCAAAAGTCATGATATTTCGCTAAATGCATCATTGGTAAGAGCCCAACAAAGTTTGAAAACGGAAATGACCTTGGCCTACTGTCAAAGTCACAGTGGTCAAAATTGACAAACACTTCAAACGACTTCTTCTGAAGAACTGAAAGGTATTGAATCTTAATATTTGGCTGGTTGCTTTCTGGGTTAGAGCCCGACAAAGTTTGAGTATGAAAATGACTTTGACCTACTTTCAAGGTCACAGGGGTCAAATGTGTCAAATACTTCAAACGACTTGTTCTGAAGAACTGAAAGGTAAAGAATCTTCATATTTGGCTGATGGCTTCCTAGGACGGAGCTCAACAAAGTTTGAGAATGAAAATGACTTCGACCTACTTTCAAGGTCACAGAGGTCAAATGTGTCAAACACTTCAAACGACTTCTTCTGAAGAACTGAAAGGTATAGAATCTTTATATTTGGCTGATGGCTTCCTGGGAAAGAGCCCGGCAAAGTTTGAGGATGAAAATGAACTTGACCTTGTTTCAAGGTCACATGGGTCAAATGTCTCAAACACTTCAAACGACTTCTTCTGAAAAATTAAAAGGTATATAATCTTCACATTTGGCTGGTTGCTTCCTGGATAGAGCCGGATAAAGTTTGAGAATGATAATGACTTTGACCTACTTTCAAAGTCACAGCGGTCAAATATGTCGACCTCTTCAAACGACTTCCTCTGAAGAACTAAAAGGTATAGAATCTTCATATTTGGCTGGTAGCTTCCTCGGATGAAGCCTGACAAAGTTAGAAATAAAAAAGACCTTGACCTTTTTTAAGATCACAGGGGTCAAATATGTCAAACACTTCAAACGACTTCTTCCGAAGAATTTAAAGGTATAGAATCTAAATATTTGGCTGGTAGCTTCTGGAGTTTAATCATGGCAAAATTTGCAAGTGAAAATTACCTTGACATATTTCTAAGGTTACGGGGGTCAAATATGTCAAACACTTCAAGCGACTTCTTCGGCGGAACTGAAAGGTATATAATCTTAATATTTGTCTGGTTACTTCTTTAAATTGAGCATGACAAAATTTGCAAATGAAAATGACCTTGACCTACTTTCAGGATCACATCGGTCAAATGTATCAAAAAAATCAAACGACTTCTTCCGAATTTGGCTGGTGGCTTCTTGGGATAGAACTCACTAAAGTTTGCAAATGAAAATGACCTCAACCTACCTTGCAGGTCACAGAGGCCAGCAACATTTTAAACGATTTGTTCTGAAGAACCAAAAGGAATGGATTCACAAGATTTGCCTGGTAGCTTCTTGGGATAAAGCCAACAAAGTTTGAGAAGGAAAATGACCTTGACCTACTTACAAGGTAATGGGGGGAAATATGTCAAACACTTCAAACAACTTCTGAAGAAGAACCAAAAAGCATAGAATCATAAATTAATGTTTGACTGGTAGATTCAACTGATGGAGTCGACAAAGTTTTCGAGTGAAATATTTGTAGTACAGTATAATATTTAATGAGAATATTTTGCTATGACTCCTAAAATATTCAGGCGAGCGATACAGACCCTGTAGGCCACTTGTTTATGAATGTCAAGGAACATGTAGAATCTCCAGGTGATATAAGAGTTAGAATCGTCTTTGAAAATACGTAAAAAAAGGTTTCAATATTTAAGCCTGAAGTTGTAAATCAGCTACAAGCAAAAAACACTAGAGTCAGGAGGTACCATCGATAGAAGATAATGATCAGCTTTATTCCTTAAAAAGTGCAGCCAATTCAGAAAACAATGCTCTCAAAAACTTAATCTGCAAATCGTTGCAGTGAAACGTTTTGAAAATATTTGTTGCTATTAAAGTTCTGTTGAGGATTATACCGAAATATCAACGCAATATTGAACTCAGGCAAATGGCAATGTGATCTTTTTTACCATTTGTATGGACGTTTGACCTACGACCATAACCTTTGACAGAAATATTCGTCAGACGATAATATATCATATGATAACCTGAACCGGTGTTCGTTGTCCGTCGGCAGACGTGAAAGTTTGGCAAATATCATGCTGGGATGAAAGGCCTAATCAAGGTTGTTCATATTCAAGGCCATGGCAGTCAGCAGTCAAATGTGTTGTAGACCTTAAAACGTCTTTTTTTGAATAACCAAAAGGTATATGGCCAGTTACATAATTGGGCATTGAAAGCCTTTACAAGAATTCTCATGAATAACTGAACAGCCTAGGTTGATGGTATTTGATCAGAAGTGTGCTGGAATAAAGAAACGTCTGCTTTGTAAAATCAACGCCCTTCGTTCTTACTAAAGGTCACAGCAGTTTAATGTTTAAGAGTAGCATGTTGGGAAGAAGTGCTCTCAACTTTGTTCAAATGAATAACCTTCACTAATTTTGAAGGTTACAGGAGTCAAGTGTGTTGAAATCTTAAGCAACTTCTTTAAAACAGACAAAGTGCTCAGAACGATGATATTTGGCAAGTAGTTTGCTGGTATTGATGGCTACCAATTATATTGAAGTCACAATGTTCAAATGTGTTAATTATCTCTAAACGGTTCTTCTTAATTGCCGAAGCAGTATGCAGGGATTAACGGCTATTCGTTTTTGGGTCACAAGGGTCATTTTATTTAAAACACAAAAACGACTTCTTACATTACAATGTTGCATGTAACTTATAATTAAAATACCTGTTTATGCTAGTGCCTAGATATTGTTCTGTTTTTTTTTTAACTTTGTAAAGTTTGTGACATATCTATACAATACATCAGCAAAAAGGATGTTTCTGTACATTTTGAAGGAAAATGTCAGGCTGTGCTATAAATGATGAGTCAAAAGTTATTTGGTAAGGATTTGTCCTCGATTTTAATAGAAAATATATGGTAAGCTGTCAAAGCGAGATATTAATCACTCAGTATGTGTGTTTAATTTAAAAGTAGATATAGAGAGTTCGTGATTTATCGTCTCTCAGGGCTGAGAAAGCCCCGGGTGAGGTTCGACTTAACTCGATAGATATGTGAACTTTAAATTAAATTATCGAACAAGGAACATGTTTATATTTAGCATTCATTCCACATTTATTGATATGGTACAGCTTATTGTGAAGGTAACAAGACTGAACGTATGAGCCAACTTTAACCAACTCAGTGAACTTGTTTATAAAGTAAAATCATATATGTTACATGGGTTTGGATTTAACTTCAGTCAGCCTTGTTAGCTTGGTGCTTAGTTTTCATATGTTCCATGGTAGTACATTGTCATTTTTATCTTTCTTGCCATTTGAAACATTACGTAACAGTTTTGTTGATTATAGCCACTATTTCAGATGATCATTACGTGTTGTATGTAATATTGCCCGTTCAGGGGTTACACAAATTTGCATTTTGGTATCATGTATGTTGATCTACTTATGCTAAAAAGAAGAACGAAAATAACAGCGGGGGGCTAAATCTACAACTTATATCTTAGGAATTTACAGACGATCTTTCCTTTTAACGTCAAGACCCTTTTTACATTAACTCCATCGAGGACATTCTTGCAATTTCCTATCAAGACTTTATGTATGTTATAAATCTGTCGTTGCCACAATGTTTTGCATTTATATGTGACGATTAAAACTACATTTAAAAATGAAACAGTTATCACTGCTAATACGCTTGTAATCAAATGAATTAAAACACTTCATGAAATGTTCATTTATAACTGTTCTTATATATAATAAAACTTTACGTTAAAACAACTTCTCCAAAAAAAGGTCATGCGAAGTTAATTTTAATATGATAATACATGTTTATCAAAATAAAATAGAGATACTGTTGAACAATCAAGATATTCTGTTAACATTATTTAGATAGGTACATTGTACATGCTAAGTAATATTAGAACATATAGTTTCTCGAGTTTTGAAGTTGAACAATATGCGTTTAACCGTTTATATATAAATGATTATCCATATAACCTGTCTTAACTGGCCCCTGTCTTATCCGGATCCATGTCTTAACCGGCTGTGATTTTTGGTCTCGGCATATTCCCTATATAATCATGGTAGCTAAACCCTGTATAAACCGGACCCTGTCCATTCCGAAAACCGGCGTTGTTTCACAAAAGTTGGCGTAGTAATTCAATGTTTGGTCGCCCTTCATTTGCATTATATACTGTATATTTAGTAAATAACTAAACGTTGCAATTGATTCATTTCTCTGTTGTTGATGTTGACACACTTGTATACAGATCGTATGCAAAACACTACATTTTTGTATTTTCAAAAAATGACATGCCAACCCTGTATAAACCGGACACCTTTGTAACCCGGACACCTTTGTAACCCGGACAAATAGTATGGTCCTGGTGACATCCGGTTTAGACAGGTTATACTGTATATATGTCTTTCATAAAATATTTAACGAATACATTTTATATATTTAACATGTAAAACTGGAAAATGAACAGAAAATTGTAATTCATTTGTGAAATAGGTAACAAGCGTAATGTAGCAATACATTGATGGATTGATAGGTTTTACGTCCGCTTCACTACCGAGTAGTTCGGTTATCCGGCAGACGAACATTTATACTCACCCAGAGAAATCTGAACAAACAAGGAAGGTACAAGCTCGTCCCCTACCAAAGGATATGTGATAACAACATTAAAACGTATCCTACCAAGTCAAGAATGTGTGTGCTGTATAAAGTTCGAATTGGAGCTACGGTGTTAGAATTCCGGATTCTTGTCTAAGTTTTGTATGGTTAGCTTGGTTCTGTAAAAATTGTTATTTTTTTATTTTTTTTTAGTAAATAAACACACCATGGAGGTCATGATCTCAGTTTAAGTCGTTATTAATTAATAAATTGATCGATTAAAATAAATGATTTAATGTATTCATTTCTTCATATCAAATACTATCAGGCAATGATGAGGAGTGTTTTTATTTCATTATGCACGCTATGTTTGTTTTAGAATTATATTACGATCACGGTTTTAGTCCTTATTCGTAAATCAATTAATCAATAAAAACAAATAAATCGACTTATTTATGCATATATTAATTCACACCAGGCAATGAATCACGTATCAATCGTTTACCTGTAAAATTTGCCCTGTAATGCTGTCCTACCTGTGTACTTCGAGCTATTGGGTTTGATTTATTTAGGCGGGGGGGG